TAGTATGATGTATGAATTTTTCATCCTTATATAAAATAAGGTAACCTAAATATTCTATTGTTCAGAATTCCTATAATGAACACCATTTACATCCAGAAGTTCTATATATGAACTTCTTACTCAGCTATAGGTAGCTAGTACTGTGTATGCTTATACTTCAGCAATATTTGGCCCTTTTTGTGGTCCTGACTTGCAAGATATCCATATGTAAATAAAAAACTCTGCACTGATCACTGATCAAATAATTATTTATGATGAAAGACCAAGAAAATTATGAATGATATAAGGGCAATGAGAAATTCTGAATTATAGGGGAAAGACCTTTTTTTTTTGGCAATATCAAGGGTCAGAAAAATCTTGGAGGAAAATGGATGTGAAATAAACTAGAGTAAAAGTACTGAAAGAAGAGAAAATAATGTACAAAAAACCATCAGAAGACAAATTTATGTCCCAAAAGAATAAAATGAATGGAAAATGGGTATGGAAGATGTTGAGAACGGAGTCAGCTATGTTACAGGATATCATAGAAATGTGTGTAGTTATGTTAAGGAGAAATACAAAATAAATGTAGGTAGAATGAAGATAAACACAAGACAATGGGTAAGGAAAAATGCTTATAAGAGAATTCTTATAAGCTTTAAAAAAGGAGGAGAAAACATAATTTGTATACAGGTAATTTTCCACTGACAAACCATTTTTTAGTGATTGTTCAAAGTTACAGCAGCACTGAAAAAAGTAACTTACAACCATGGTCATGTGATCAAAATTTGGTTGCTTAGCAACTGGCATGTATTTGTGACAGTTGCAGTGTCCCGGGGTCATGTGATCAGCATTTGAACCTTCTCAGCCAGCTTCTGACAAGCAAAGTCAATGGGGGAATCATGCTTATTGACCACATGATTCCCTTAACTGCTGTGATTTGCTTAACAACTGTGGCAAAAAGGTCATTAAAATGGACAAAACTCACTACTGCCTCACTTAGCAACGGAAATCTATAGGTAATCCTCTGCTATGCATCAGTTTATTGCTGATTAGCCATTAGGCCATCTCAAAACTCAGAATGTAAAACACAGAACCTTAATAAGACTGTATATAAAAATAAAATAAAAGTTACAGAGAATCTAGCCAAGGAAAGATTCAGACTAACAGAGAAATTGTAGACTCATTTTGAGGAAAATAAAACATTTATTTTGGACGTTGATGAAGAGGACTAAACAAGGAGCCTCCTGCTGTGTGAATCAAATCAATAACAAAAATAATGACATTCAAAATGCAACTGACCTGAGGAGATGCAGGAAAGAATCATGCAGAGACCTGCTATGTTTAGTTTTAACTAAAAACAAATGCTGTTCATATTAATATCCAAGAGAAATTCAAAAATGCTGGGAAAACATTGAAAACAAAATCTGTCTGCAAATGTAGAAGAAATAATTGAAAAAATATTGATGCCATTTGTTTTAAGGAGTAACTGTGTGTCCTCTTTAAAGTGTGTTTGAACACTGCAATTTTGCCTGATAGTTTTATTTGTTTAAAAATATTTATATAACTTCCCATCTTATAACACAATCAAAAATTAAAGCAGGTAAAAACTATATTAATGCTATAAAAACCAGACTCATTAAACACCAAGACCTGGCACCAGGTCAAGCTTCCAATATGCAGGCACCTCATCCCAGCTCTTGGGGGGTAAAGGCATGTCTTTAGTATTTTACAGAAGTCTACGGGGGTGGAGGCCTGCTGAACTTCAAAAAAAGGTACACTTTCTAGTTCCTATAAAAGTAAAGGTTTTCCCTGTCCAGTTGTTTCCAACTCTGGGAGGGGGGGGAGTCTGCTCATCTCCATTTCTTAGCCGAGGATGTCAGCGTTGTCCGGAGACATTTCCATGGTAATGTGGCAGCATGACTATACGCCAAGGGGCACAGAATGCTGTTACGTTTCCACCAAAGTGGTACCTATTTATCTACTCACCTGCAGGAGCTGGGACAAGTAACGGGAGCTCACTCCATCACGCAGAGCTCAGTCTTAAACCTGGTATGTCAGCTTTCTAGCTGACAAGTTCAGCATCTTTAACCGCTGAGCCATTGCGCCCCTAGCTCCCATAAGATGGCAATATTTAAGGTAACAGCTTTAACATTGATTCCTAATGGAAAGCCAAATGGGTCGCTGAACTCCCAGTCATAGAAAGACATATAAATGACCCCACAAAAAAAGGTGCCAGCGTCAGCAATGGACAATCCTGAATAGGATTCGCACCTCATATGGCATCTGCCGGGACTCTGTAGAAATAGGGCATAGTATCCTCCCTTCAGTGTGACTGCGGGGTCCCACATCAAACTGTAGATCACATCATGACCAACTGTAAGCTGAGGGCATGTACTAGTCCAGTATCTGATTTTTTTAATATAAACGATGCTGCACTTCAATAGTTAGATGGCCTAGACCAGGGCTAGGCAACCTTGGCTCTTTTATGACTCGTGGACTTCAACTCCAGAATTCCTGAGCCAGCCATGCTGAGGGGAAAGAGAGGTTTCCAAGCTGAGCCATGCTGGCTCAGGAATTTTGGGAATTGAAGTCCATGAATCATAAAAGAGCCAATGTTGCCTATCCCTGACCTAGACATTGATCTTTTTAACATTTATATTTTATTGTGTTCTACTAGCCTAGATGAAATGTTAATATATATTGCTAGTCTGTGTATAATATGCCATATGCTAAATAAATTTAAGGTAAGAGACAAGGAGCATACCCACCCTTCTGACCTGATAAGTAAATGACCTTAGGGAAAGGTGGTCCCACAGACAGCCTAGCCCTGGGCCACATAGGACTTTTAAGGTGATGACCAGCACCTTGAATTGCACCCAGAAGCTGGAAGCCAGTGCAACTCACAAGACAGAGGTGTTACATATGCAAGCCTAGGGACATCCATTGCTGTGCACTGTTGAAGTTTCCGGGTGGTTATAAGGGCAGCCCCATGTAGAGTGTATTGCAGTAATCCAAAGGGAGGTTTGGATACTGTGAGCAAGGCCTCCCAGTCAAAAGCCCTTCTAACCACAGCTGCCACTTCCAATAAGAAGAATTCCATTATTTTTTCCCCACATAAAAGAAAAAATAGTAAGAATTAAAGAAAAAAAACAGCATCAAAAGGATTGGTTAAGTTTGCATGTGTGAAGTTTTGGGGCACAATTCATATCTACGGGGTACAACAGGTGACAATAAGCCAAACTGTGGAAGGACAATGCAACTTTATGCTAGGGAGGATGTGAATACTACATTTTTGCTGTTTAACAGATCTTTAAGATATGAATTATTACATATGAGATCTAAAGTTTATTGTATGCTTCTTGATTTATAGAAAGCATATGATAAGTGAATAGGCTTGAATTATGGAATGTTTACCAGAAGTATGCAATTAAAGGTTGATTGCTAAATACAACATGAACAGTATATGATTGAAGTTCAACTTTTAAAAACAAACTGTAAAGTTAAGGAAGATGACTGATACACCGAGCTGTATTGCCAAGGTGACAAATGGTAAAACAAGTTTTCAGTTCAAAATGGCTAGATAACATGGGCAAGTCACACGTTCATCTCCATAATTCACTCAACTGTAAGATGGGGAAGAGGTACAACACAATCAGACTGACAAAAAATTTGTATTGTATCTAATGATATATGTAGTTTTAGCCTTCCTATAGAGCTGATTTGTTGGCCTGGTGTGCCTAGTGTGACTAACTCAAGTATATGAAAGAAGAGTGAATGGATTGAGAGAAAGGGAAACACTGAGGAAGTTGTGGTGCAATGGCATTCATAAGATCTTCAAAAAGAATCAGAGACAAGGTGTCTAGAGAACAAAACGCCATGTCCAATGGATGCGTTGGACATACAAATATAGGTAATCAGTCCTGACTTACTGACCACAATTGAAACTGGCAACTCCACAGAGAAGTTGCCCTGGGCACTAACTAAATAATAATATTGAATGACCCAGACTTACAAACCTCACTTCAGCTTCTGTTGTTAAGTGAATCATCCACAGTCATTAAGCAAGGTATCACATGATCACAACTTGAAATTTTATTGCCAATTTCTCCACTGATTCTGTTTGTTTGAAGCTGGTTGTGAAGTGCACAAATGGCAATCACATTACCACAAGACGCTGCAATGGGCATGAAAACCTGCTGGTTTCAAAGCACACAAATGTCCACCACTAACTTCAAACAGTCACTAAATTGGCATTTGATAATGGAGGAGGACCTGCAGTTTTCAAAATAGATTAGGGTAAGCTAACTGCTGTTAGCATAAACTGAACCATTTCTTTTTCTTATTTCTTTGTTTTATTTCGTATTTCTTTTCTGCTTTTTGCATAATATTGTTTAACCCAAAGGGTAAAGATGATGGACATGTATAAATTTAATCAGCTATGTTTTCATTTAGAAATTAAATATGCACGCTTGTTTAAACAAAATAACTCAAGTTAGCAATCTCACCACCAAAGAATAGTGTTTCTTTCTTAATGCTTATTGTACTTCATCAACCCAATGGGACATATTTCCTAGTGTATATGCATAGGATTATTGTGAGTGTGCGTGTTTGCATAATTCTGAGCACCCTCCACAAACAAGTGTATTAGCAAAGTATCTAGTCGTTGCAGCCATTGAACCCTGGGAAACCCGGAGGGTCAAAATTTGCAAGCTGGAGTCATGATTCATCAAAGATTGCAAGCGGTCTGGTTGACAATTTCCTTCTTTCTCCCAATTCTTCTTTTCTTGCAGGATGATTTCCCCTGTTTTCCATATTAATAAGCAATTATCCAAACTTTATGGCTATATTACATTCACCCCTTTCCGCTGTAATGGTACGACCTGGAAATGGAAGGAAAACCCAGGGCTGCTGAGTAGTATTAGACTAAGAGATTCCGTGTAACCTGAGGCGAGGGGAGATTTCCCTCCCCTCCGGAGTTCAGCCGTGTTAACTTGATACTTCCCTCTTTATTTAAACAGGGGCATATTGAAGTGGAAAGCGAGACAGTCTTTAGATTAGCTGCTTTGATTTTACAGGTAAGATTTTCCCAAACTCATTTTATGGTTTCTTTTAACCTGCCATGCCTTCAGTTCCCAGACTGGAGTTTCTGTAGCATTACTTATATATTTTTTTTATAAAATGTAAAACTATAAAACTATAAATGTAAAACTTATAAATTTTATAAATGTAAAACTATACCCAGCTGACCCAGTTAAAAACGGAATACCTGTTTGTTCTTCACGTTTGCAAATCTGTCGTGCAAAGCGGTCACTGTGCGGACATTTAAAATTTGCCGGAGAAGAAATGCATGAAGGAAACTTATTTGGAGTGGGGCAGCGTGCTTTGAGTAAGGTATACTTTTGTGTCATCTGTCTGGTATATATTTTCCGTAATGCTAAAGCTATATGTTGGACACAGAAGAAAGATTATGAAGTAGAGAAAAAAAGGGGCTGTAATTATATTGAAAATCACTACGAAGACTTTAAATAATGTCTCATCAATTCTGCTTCAGTTATTTATCATGTAGTTGATTTTGCATGGGTTATTTTTCTTAAGAAGAGGGTTCCGTTTGTATTAATACATTCTAATAAAGTAATGAAACTTTGATTTTTTTTAAAAAAAGTGTTTGAAATGGATCCAGATTACCAGAGCTGTGTAATTTTAGTTTTTGTCTTACACACATGTGGGGGTCGTGGAGGGGAGTGAGTTGATTCTTTTAAATAACAAAACCTATTTTTTTATTAAAAAAAGCCTTCCAGACCATTGATGTACTTTTAATTTGCACATAGGGTCAGCATTTGTTCAAAACTATTGACTTGAATTTTAATGATGTGGTATGGTATCTAGGGTAAATGAAATGTAAACAGCCATTACAAAAACAACAAAAAAAAGATTTCTAACATGATTTTTCCCCCTTTATAGGAAGCAAAAGGAGACTACTCTAGGTAATTACATTTCTTTTTTTATTATTAACCCTGTGGGTGAGGTTTAGCTTTTCCTGCATATTTGCTAATCACAAAGCAGAGCAAGTGCAACAACCAGCATTAATTCAGAGCAAGTACTAGCAAAGGGGTATATTGCTTTTGTGGGCAAGTGAAAATTGAGCTATTCTTTTCCAAAGTGCAATAGTCTGGATGCTTATATTAGCTAATCTATGATGAAGTAAATCTTCTCAGTATTTTGTAGCAAGCTAGCCTCCATCTAGAGAGGTTCCTTTCACAACACCCCTCCCCCCAATTTCCCTGTAAATCTCCTAATGACCTGATCTGTGAATAGCCCTAATGTATGCTTAGCAAAAAGTTTGCCAGCCTTGTAGATCAATGTGCAGTCTTTCCTTTTGCAGCTGCTCCAAGGGGGCTCACCTGTCACACTCCTATCCTGACAGCTGTATTGTGACTGCTGGAAGATTTTGAGCTTGCTGGGTTCAGCTCTTACTACCATGTGCAAATCAGATGCAGCTTTAGTCAGTTTTCTTCCTATCAGCAAAATACAGTCCCTTCAGTGTGCAATGCTTGTAGGAGCAATTAAATAAAAAGGACATTGTGTCTGAGTTGAAAGTGGTGCTGGGCAGCTTAATTAGCAGCAGCTCACTTAAGAGATTTTGTAAGAGGAGAACACTGTTAGTCTATGGTATTCCAAAATCAGAAGGAGTTAATATAGGCAAAAGCTTTAATCAGGTGACAGAGAGTGGCTAAAGTGATGTCAGATTTAAATTAGGGGGAGGAGAAGAAGACAAGAGTGATTGGTTTTTAACCAGATTAATGTTTCATTAATGGCTTGATTTCTTGCAAAGGAAAGAGGGCTTGTTGTTGCTTACCATTCTGCCAAAATTAGATGTATGTATGGTTATATTCTGACATGACCTGTTGTAAGATCATATTTTTTTGCCACTAGGCAAATGCATTGTTTTCTGTTGTGCATGATTGGGTGGAAGAGGCAGAGACTTTCTCAGTCGAAAAGCTCAGTCTAATATCCAAAAGTATTTTGCAAGTCAGAAGGTTTCAGAAAAAGAGGATGCTAAAAAGAACCATGCCATATATGAAAGGAGGGAATGAGTTGGTTTGCTCACTGCTTGTTTTAGCCTGGTACACCACTATATGGTTATTTCTGCAGAAATGAAGTCCTGGATAGAAAATAAGATTGAGCCCTCTTATTCTATAGCAGAATTCCTGTCATAGTCCATGGCAGCACCAATCAGTCTGACTTGAGCAAACTTCAAACCAGCTAGGGAGGGTTGGACTTGGATGAGAGACTACCAAGAAATCTCAGGACTGTAGACTTGATGGTTTTTTTAATTGATTGACCTTGCTGCTGGTTTTTCTCTTTGCTTCCACCTTTCTCAGCCATCAGAACCTTCTCCAAAGAGCTAGGTTTTTGCACAATAGGTCCAAAGTTATTCATTCCCCAAGTGAGAATTCTGTGTTAATTTGTTTGATGATCCATCAGTTTGCTTCGTTGGCTGCCCTTGGCATTCTCAAGAATCTTCTCCAATACCAAGTTCAAAAGTGCCAATACTTATCCCACTTCTTCAGAGTCCAACTTTGTCTATACTGTTCTGAACTTCATAGGTGTAAACATAGCATCTGAATATATTTTCAGAGCCCTTCATGGCTATTATATCAAGTGTTAGTAGTCTGGTGTATATTTCTTGACCGCTTGATCCTTTAAAAAAAAAAAATCAGGTAGGAGGGATTGCAATCTACTTTGCAATTAGCAGGTTGTACTAGTGTTTCATAGCTTCCTTCTATCAGTTTACCAACAACTTGTGTTAACACTGCTGATCACTTGGTGATCGTGTTCGCACAGGATCCTCGGAATTATCTGTGCCAGTTGCTTGGGTTTGCATGATTCATGAATCATAAATTAAATACCGCCTGTGGCTGGTTAGTTTGTGATTTAGTATGTTGTGTGAACACAGCCAATCTATTATTAGGTTAGCTTGGATCATCATCTGGATCAGCACACATCCTTCATAGCTTACAGCTATCAGGTGTATTATATCAGTACGTCTGGCGCCAAAATATCTACTTTTAAGTGTCTTAATTAAGCAGTTGCTGCTTTTTTGTAACAGAATGCAAGAAATGATTAAGGGTGGTGATTTTTACAAATAGGGATGAAAACATTAAGGTTTCAAACTGATAAAGATTAATTAATCACATATTAGAACTCTTAATTGTTAATCTGATTTAATCCATGAAAGGATCTGAAGTGTGTTGAAGGTGCCATCATGCAGAATATTACATGCATATTGTGAGTTGGCAAGACATTTAATTTGCTAAGTTTAAAGGAGCAGCTGTCTTAATTAGATATGAAGTCTAAACTATACTGAGACATCTTTGAGACCAGTAATTATTTTATTGATAGTCTAGACCTTAAATACTTTCACACAGAATTGACTCAATTATACCGTATGTATTAATTACATCTGAGAAGCTTTATTGGCAAATGTGCAGGATGAGAACTCCAGAAAATGAAGGTGAGGGAACTGAATTATTTAAAGGTGGTTATTCTCTGAGATCAGTAGCAGTTGCTGCAACATGTTCAATTTGTTGTTCTGGTAAGGGAAAAATCATCTTTGCTTTAGTTTCTTCTTTATGCTATGGAATTGGTAATGCCAAGTCCAGGCAGCTGTTTAATGTCAACTTGGGACATTTGTAGACATTCAGGAAACTCCTGCATCATTTACTAGAGTTAAAGCAAGGTCACTGCCATGTGTCAAGCTGTCCCAAGGAAGTTGCTAGCATATGTATGAAACAGCAGGTGTAGGCCACTTGTGCTAAGAATTTATGTAGATGTGCTGCATTCATTTTGCAGGCGTGGTATTTTTTGTAGAAAAAAAAATACAGACTTTGATGCAAGGATGTGTTCAGTTAAATGTCAATACATTTAGGGTTCATTTGCATTTCTTCAATGTCTGCCTACCATTCTGAGAGAGAAAAATATGTGACAACCATTAGTTTTACCTACAGTAATGGCCAAAATTGTGGAAACCTTTTGGGAAAAGTGTACAGTAGAAATGCCACCTTTGGTTATGTTTCCACCAATTTTTCTTCTAATTTCTTTATAAGTGTAGCCTTGTTCACTTAATAATACTATTTTACATCGCTTTCTGGGCATCCAGTGAACTCTTTGCACCATTACTTTAATTTTATTACCTTTTACAAGCTCACTAAATGAAAGAACACAAAAATAACCCAATCAACTTGATAGGGATCGCATAACACCCTGACAAATGTCCTCCTCTCAGCTTCAATACATGACATCAATAACTGAATCCTACTGTGATCTGATTGGCTCATTGCCCAAACAAGATGACACCTGATTGGCTCTCTAAACACTTATGCTCATTGCCTACAGTCAGATGAAGGAAAGCTACCTGATATCAACCTAAGCAAACTGTGCTTTCTTTTTCTGGTTATTTGGCTATAACGTTTCATAGAATACAGTACAGATAATTGAACAAACTTTGTTGCATTACATTCTTGATTAAATTATCTTTCCATTGATATATAATTTTATGGTACTACTCCAAAAACAAAGTGGTGTTATTAGCCATCAAACCTCAAAAATACACTTTTCCCAAAAGGTTTCCACAATTTTGGCCACTACTGTAGTCTGCCAGGAAGGCAGACTTTATCCTTTTCTTATTCCACATTCAAATACTGTTTTCCAGCTCCTACTGGTGCAAACGTGGCCATGTGGTCGGCCTACTGTGTTTCATTTGTTTGTAGGCAAATGCCTCCACTCCGGTTGCCTAGTGTACATTGTGATGGTGACATCCCCTTACGTTTACTTGCTGACCACTATTTGCTGTGTTTCACACACAAACCAATACTGCCCCAGGAAGTGATAGCTGATGAGATAGAATGGGCAGATTTTGCTCTACAGTAGAAGCCTTTTTATTACTTACTTACTTGTTTTGTTTTAACCAGTCTAAGGAGTAGACTTCTGAAATAGTGATATTTTTTTTACTAGTCCATCATGGAATTTTCTTTTATTACAGAACTAACAAATATTCTGTAGATTTCTATATAGAAATAGATGAAATTGTACCATGAGAACATGAAGGCATTTTGAAAGAAGAAGAAGAAAAAACTAGTTCCAGCTTTATGTACTGTTCAACATCCAAAGTACTTTACTTACTTTAGGTAAAATTGTTTGCATAATCAGTTAATGTAACTGATTAATCAGCTAAACTTTCTGAGCCGTCCAGAGTCATCTTGTAGGGGAGATGGAAGGCATACCAATTTAATAAATTAAATAAAATAAAACAACCCTATGCCTTATTTCTCTTTCCCCTCTTTCCAAGCTGGTAGTTCCCCTTATCATCATCAGGGATACAGCAAACTTTCACAAGATAACTGAGTTCCAGCAAAACAATACCAGCATTGATTCTGTGGTTGATAAAAAAAACATTGAAACAGTTGGCCAAAAAGCAGCTGTAAGAAGCACATGTCTGATGTGCTAGCCATCAAACTCTGTTGATGTCAAGCCTGAAGAAAATGGAATGGGCAGCTTGAAACCAGGTGCTGGCAAAGAAAAAAATTCCAAACCTTCACATATTTTAGCAGACAGGTTTTGTTTAGGGAGAAGTAACTCTCTTTTGGAATTTATTTTACTATATTATATCAGAGTTATCCACTGAGAATTGGATAATCTTTGCTCCCAGACTTGCTTAATATTTCAGCTTGTGCTAGCTGTGGATGATGGGACTTGCTCCATGTGTTTAGGACAGTACTCATTGGAGAAATCTCAAATAATGCAGTCCTATAAATGACAACTCAGAAGTAAAGTCCCAATGTAAGTTTAACTTGTGTAATAATCTTTAAAAAAACCAGCTTGAATTGAATATTGATATAATTCTATACATTTTCTTCCCAGCTCCATTTTGATGAAGTTACGTCCTCACATAAGTAATACTGTTTATAACTCTGAGTACAATATT